TTCCCCTTGGGGTGCCCCGGCGCTATTTGTGAAAAAGCACGACGGATCTCTCCGGTTGTGCATTGACTACTGTCAATTGAATAGGGTAACTGTGAAGAACAAATACCCACTACCAAGGATCGATGAGCTATTCGATTAGTTGGGTGGATCACAGTTTTACTCCAAGATTGACTTGAGGTCTGAGTACCACCAATTGAAAATTAAGAAGGAGGACATTCCGAAGACTGCTTTTAGAACTTGGTATGGGCATTTCGAGTTTTTTGTAATGCCTTTTGGCCTGACGAATGCCTCGGCGGCATTCATGGACTTGATGAACCGTGTTTTCTGGCCGTATTTGGATCGGTTCGTAATTGTCTTCATTGACGACATACTGGTTTACTCGAAGACTTGGGAAGAACATGAGCAACACTTGAGAATTGTTCTTCAAACCTTTCGTGAACACCAGTTGTATGCTAAGAAGGAGAAATGTGACTTCTGGCTGACAGAAGTGAAGTTCCTTGGGCATGTAATTTCAGGACAAGGAATTTCTGTCGATCCTTCTAAGATTGAGATTGTGCTATACTGAGAAAGGATGAAGAATGTAGCAGAGATTCACAGTTTCCTCAGACTTGCAGGGTACTATCGGCGTTTCGTGAAAGACTTCTCGAGTATTGCTGCACCGATGACTCGGTTGACCAAGAAAGAAGTCAGATTCCAGTGGGACGCCGAATGTGAAAATGCTTTTCAGGAATTGAGGGTTAGACTGACAAGTGCACCAGCCTTGATTATTCCTGATAGTGAAGAACCATATGAGGTGTATTCTGACGCCTCGGGGAGTGGCATTGGCTGTGTCTTAATGCGAGGGGGACGCTGTTGGTAACTGAATCGAATTCGGATGCGGAAGTGTGGCGGGGAGGCGGATCATGTATAACAAAAACTTTCATAAAACTTTTGAGATACTCTATAGATTATATTAATTTATACACGAATAAATTAATCACATTAATTTATATATCAAGAACTCAATTAGGAAAAATACCTGGAGGCCAACTCGGATGAAAACTTGAGTTCTTTGACCACGAACAATCCTTGCTCCAATCTTTGTGTTTAGAAAACCAAAGTCTTCCACGTCAATTCCTTGATTCCACGTAGACGTGTGTGTGGGCACACGTAAAACAAAACAGGTTTGATTAAACACTCGAATTTACCACAAACACCAACGCATGCACGATGTGGAATTGCCTGCATCTTATTGAGTTTGCGTACAACAACAACTATCATGCCAGTATCGGTATGGCACTGTTTGAGGCTCTCTATGGTCGTCCTTGTAGGTCACCTGTTTGTTGGTTGGAACCAAAGGATCAACTGAGTACTGGACCGGAGGTTATTCAAGAAAATAATGAGAAGATAGCCGTGATTCGGGAACGACTGTTGACAGCTCAAAGTCGTCAGAAAAGCTATGCTGATAGAAGGCGTATGCCTTTGGAATTCTAGGAAGGCGACTTTGTTTTGCTGAGGGTTTCCCCACGCAAGGGAGTTGTTCGGTTTGGTGTGAAAGAGAAACTTGTACCAAGATATGTGGGACCATTCCCGATCGTGCAACGAGTCGGAGTGGTGGCTTATCGGTTGGCTTTACTGCCTGAATTATCTCACGTGCATGACGTGTTTCATGTCTCCATGCTTCAAAAATGTCAACCTGAGCCGGAAGCTATAGTGCAGTGGTTTGACGTTCCGATACAGTATGACGCGTCATACGAGGAGGCACCCGTTCAGATTCTTGACCGAAAGATAAAGAATCTTCGCCATTCTGAGATCCCGTTAGTGAAAGTGTTGTGGCAGAACCATGGAGTCGAGGAAGCGACATGGGAGCTTGAAACGACGATGCAGGAGCAGTATCCGCATCTGTTTACACTTTGAGGTAAGCCTTAATTTCGGGGACGAAATTGTCTAAGGGGGTGGAGCTGTAACACCTTGAAGAATTAATTGGGATTAATTGAGATAATTAAGAATTATTAGTGTGCCTAATCTAGATTTATTAATTGAGTATTAATTAATAAATATTTATGACACGTGTGAGTTTAAATAATTTCAAGGTATTTAAATATTCTCAGTATTTACATGTTTACCCAGAAGTGTGTATGGACACATTTCTGGACAGTTATTTTAAATTTAGTGACACCTGTCTTTTATTTCTTTTCTTTTTCTTTTCTTTTGCATTTTCCATTTTCCGTTTCTTTTCCTTCCTTCCCGTGCCTTCACTCCCTCTCTCTCTTTCTCTTCACTCCCGTGCTCTCTCTCTCTGACCCTTATTTTTTGTCCCAAATCAAACGGATCTTGAACCAAATGGGAGTTTCAAAGCATTTTCAACGTCAAGAGAAGGATTCAATGTAAGATTTCTGAAAAAAAAAACCTCTCTTGAATCTCTAGATTTTGGATTCTAAAACTTATTTTTGGTTCGAAACGAATTTTTACGGATTTTAAGTAAATCATGGTAGAAATTGGAGATTTTGGGTTCTTTGGACTTGATTTAGTACCTAGAACCCGGATCTAGTGGTTTTCCTTTAAAATATTTTGATTTGGGACTGGATTTGTAAGTTTTCGAACTGGTTTCTGCGAGCTTCTCTCACGCAGCTGATTCCACCGGTCGACCTGTCTGGTCGACTGGATCACATGGTAACCGGTCGACTGGTGCGATCAACCAGATTGCATTGGCCGGACCGGTCGACTTGTCCGGTCGACCGGATTGCACACCACTAGTCGACCGGTGGTGATGCACTGTTTTGTCACCGGTCGACCGGTTGACATGGGGTTTGACCATGTTTGGCCTGAAATTGTTGTTTTGACCCCTGTTTTTGGTGAGAACCCAAATTAGCTTCATTTGGGGACTTGAGATAAATGGATTAGCATCTTTAATCCTTGATTTGAGATTGAAAACCCTTGGAATGATAATTTGAAACATACAAATGGATTTGGGCACACTAATTGAAAATCTTGGTACATAATTGAGATTAGATTACTTTAGGAATAAAAATTGATCCTAAAGTGTTGTCTTGTATCAGTGATAGCTGAGGATTCAGACTGAGTGGCTGGAGGAAGCGGAAGCTGAGATAGTGCACCGCTAGCCACAGGTTTGGTAAATTCGAGGTAGGATTTCTATCCCTTTTCCTTGTGAGCCTGTTTTCAAAAAGGATTTCGGCATTGGAAATGTTTTAAAGAAAGGGGTTAGATTGCGAAAGGAAAACTCTTTAAAAACCATGGCTTGTTTAGTCATGGAACCTCATGGCTTGCCCAGTCATGGGGCCCGCGGCTTGAGTAGTTCGTGGGGTCACATTAACGATTTCATAATGTTAAATGAATGATTTCTTAAGATAAGAGATCTTGTGAACCGGTAAGAATATATTGCTGTAAGCCTAGATAGGATGCAGAGAGTGCATCCTCGAGGGCAGAACCCGAAACTCGGTCCGGGTAGGCAAGGCATTTGGTAGGTGAGTAATTTGTACTAATTACTTGCTGATGCCTGTAATACGATTATTTTCAGTCATATTTCCTTTGAGAAAAAGGATGTGAGGTTCCGGCTGCCTGTTAGAACTGAATGTCTTATTTTATTTGCTTATTCATTTATTTATTCGTCGCTCATTTATTATTCATTTATTTATATAGTCTTGTCGAACTATATCCTACTGGACCTTTCGCTCACGTTTTATGTTTTTATAAATATTAAACCCCTCCCAGGAGATTCTAGGAGTGGTGCACAGTAGCTGGTGTGGTGCTACTGTTGGAACAAAAGAGGACAGTGTTCATCCTCTGACATAAATGTGAGGAATTGAGAATTCTGTAAACTCGATTCTAGGAGTGGTGCACAGTAGCTGGTGTGGTGCTACTGTTGGAACAAGAGAGGACAGTGTTCATCCTCTGACATAAATGTGAGGAATTGAGAATTCTGTAAACTAATGTAATATTTGGATATACTAGACTGTGATTGATGTCGGTTGTAATTGATTATTTACATGTTCATGTATGTACAATGCCATATATCCTGTGGGTGGAGCCCTGTGTGTTGTCAGAGGCTCGGGACTTATAAATTTATATTATATTTTAATGGAGTTAAGTGGGGCTCATTTGGGAATCTGTTTTATTAACCCCTAATTGAGCTCCACGTCACCCACCCTTTTTTTTTTTTTTTTTTTTTTGGGTGGGGGGCGTGACAAACCCGCATACCCCAACTCAACCCACACAAACATGCTTGATAACTCTAATTTATGTTTGATGTTGGATGGACTACTTTGCGTCATGTGTGATGTTAGATTGAACTTTGAATTGATATCTATATGATGATGGACTAATCAGTATTATTTCTATTTGATGATGAACTTTGAATGTTGGAGTTATGTTTGATTATCAGTATTATTTTTATTTGATGATCATCATTATTTAATGATGAACTTTGAATGTTGGAGTTATTATTTCTATTTGACGATGAACTTTGAATGTTGGTTTGAACTTTGATTCTTTGAATGATGAACCTGACCACCCAACCTACCCCGCCCCAACCCAACCCAACCCAAACATCATTGGGTTATGAAATTTTTTTAACATCGTTAGGGCCAAATATGTGCAACCCATACCTTTTGGGACGGGGCAAGAAAAAACTCTATCCCGCACCAACCAAACCCATGTATAGCCATGCAGTTCGCTGATTTATGTTTTTAATTAGAACTGAGATGTGACTTTATATGAAAACCCTTAACTTTAGCATAGCAGAAAAAGTTAAAAGTGATTTTTTATGAGAATTTTTAACTATAGTAAAATTAAAATTGAGAACTCAAATCGGTAAAATAAATGAGTCCAAAATGTATCTAATTCAAGAACAGCATAACCTGACGTGGCCCAACCGAGGCGATCCATCTGGACTCTAACAAAAGGACAAAGATAAAACTCACTGGAATTACCTCCACGTGGCAGTCAACCCAGTCCATAAAAACGATAAGTTTATATTTATTTCCCTTCCCCAAGGGAAAGAAACGAACGTTAATAACATTACAGAAAACAGAACGGAGAAATCACAATCACGATGGGAATGGGCAAGGAAAACGACGGCGGAGATTTCAAGCTGGTCGGTTTCTCCAACTTCGTCCGTACGAACCCGAAGTCGGATCGGTTCGGAGTGAGGCGGTTCCACCACGTCGAGTTCTGGTGCGGCGACGCCACCAACACCGCCCGCCGCTTCTCATGGGGGCTCGGCATGCCTCTCATCGCCAAGTCCAACCTCTCCACCGGAAACCTAATCCACGCCTCCTATCTTCTCCGCTCTGGCGACCTCCAATTCCTCTTCACAGCCCCTTACTCTCCCTCCATCGCCGCCGCTGCCGCAAATCAAACCACTGATTGTTCCTCCGCCGCCATCCCGACCTTCGATCGCGCCGCCTTCCTCTCCTTCTCCACCTCCCATGGCCTCGCCGTCCGCGCCATCGCCGTCGAGGTCGAGGACGCCGAGCTGGCCTTCGTCACCAGCGTTGCCCACGGCGCTAAGCCTTCCTCTCGTCCGATCTTCCTCGATAACCGCGTTGTAATCGCCGAAGTTCGCCTCTATGGCGACGTCGTTTTGCGCTACGTTAGCTACAAATCCCCCGCGGTGAGCGATGAATTCCTCCCCGGATTCGAGCCGGTGGCGGAGTCCTTCCCCCTGGACTTCGGAATCCGGCGACTGGACCACGCCGTCGGGAACGTCCCCGAGCTCGGCCCCGCCGTGTCGTACGTTAAAGGATTCACTGGATTTCACGAGTTCGCGGAGTTCACGTCGGAGGATGTAGGGACGAGCGAAAGTGGGCTGAACTCGGTGGTGCTGTCGAACAACGACGAGACTGTGCTGATCCCGATGAACGAGCCGGTGTACGGGACGAAGAGGAAGAGCCAGATTCAGACCTATTTGGAGCACAACGAAGGGGCCGGGGTCCAGCACCTGGCGCTAGTGAGCGAGGACATCTTCAGAACCTTGAGAGAGATGAGAAGTCGCAGCGGCGTCGGAGGGTTCGAGTTCATGCCGTCGCCGCCGCCGACTTACTACAAGAATCTGAGGCACCGGGCGGCGGAAGTGTTGACGGAGGAGCAGATGAAGGAGTGCCAGGAACTGGGGATTTTGGTGGACAGGGATGATCAGGGCACTCTGCTCCAAATTTTCACCAAACCTGTTGGAGACAGGTGAAAATGTCGTATAATGCTCTTTTGTGCTTTTCGGGTTCAATACAATTTTAGATTAGGATTGCGTAGAGAGTTCATTTGTTTGGTGATTCTGATTTTCCACATTGCTTAACTTACTGTTGTGAACCGTTTCTTGCAGTTTAAGCCATCTGAATGAAATTAAGTGACTTTTGATCCATGCAATTTCAGAGTGCTTTTGTATTTAAGAAATTACATAGACATTATCTATTTGCTATATTAAATGAACAAAAACACTATATTGGGCATGTGTAAATGAGGATGGGTTGGTTGTGTTGTAAGAATCTAGGTTCGATGAGGAGTTTAGTATATGCTGTTTGTTAAGGACTAAAGGGGAAAATGTTATGATACTTATGTTTATCACGGTGTCTTGGATTTTGCTATCCAGTTTGGAAAAGTATATAGGATACGAAATTTCTCATTTAAAAATCAATAAGCTGTAGTAACTTGCCATGTTATTGTATTGGCTTGATGGGGTCTCTTACCAAATTTGCAGGCCGACTATATTTATAGAGATAATCCAGAGAGTGGGGTGCATGATGAAGGACGAAGAAGGAAAATTGTACCAAAAGGGTGGATGTGGAGGTTTCGGAAAGGGAAACTTCTCCGAGCTGTTCAAATCCATCGAGGAATATGAGAAGACACTTGAAGCCAAACAAGCTGCCGGCTCGGCTACTGCATGAGAGTAATTATATTTAGTTACCTTATTTGCATTTATACTGCAACGGTAATTTCTGATGCCAGTTTGGCATAGTCGTTCTTGACATAATAGAAAAGTCAGATTGTGCATATGAAGTTATGAACTTAATAACAGACGCCTTTGGCATCTGATTGTGTAGAAGTGCGGTACAATGAAATGAACTTCAAGGCTTCTCTATGATAACTACACGACTTGCTTATTTCACTCTTGAATGGTCCAGAAATAAGTTCAAGCTCGAGTAAACTATAATTTCAACATATATATTGCGACTTTACACCTGTTGTAGGGTAATATCTAAAAGAAGGTGAATGGCTGTGGAGCCGGTTAAGCTGTTGTTTTGTAGGTAAGCAAGTCCCTGTTTGGATTGTTCATTCTCTATATTCTTACCTAAAACGCCAATGGACTCCCAGTGTGCACACTGTTCTCAAAGGAACTTATTTTGCTCGTTTCCTTTTGTTAGTGTATCTTAAGCAAGCGTGAAAAACCAGAAGAGATGCTTGATATCAGAATTGTTCACAGAAATTAGAAGACACTGATATAATACATAGGCTTCAAAAATGGATACTCATATAATAATGAGGGAAGGAAAAAAAAAAAAAAAAAAAAAAGGAAGCAAGAAAACAAAAGTGCTCTCATATATCAAAATCTGCCCAAACCCGTCTAAATTCGCCAAACAAAGTTCGCCCTAAGAGCGCTGCTTAATCAAGTATTATCTTTACTCTTGATTTATATTTTTAATAACTAAATCAAAAGAATATTAATCGAGGTAATAGGAGTGAAGATTAAGAGTCTTGCACTCTTAAGGGTAAGTTTGATATTTTTAATGAGTGAAAATAATTTAAATTAAACAAAATGATATTCACTTTTAACATTTTTATTAGAATTTCGAAGAATGAACTTAACCTGAATTTTTTCATATAAAACAATACCAACTTCTAAATTCATAGATCTTAATAATTGGAACAGAAATTTACAAAAAAAAAAAATAATAATAATAATAATAATAATTGGAACAGACAAGAAAAGGTTATTATCCTCACAAATCTTATTAAGACAAATAGCATTCCAATATATATTACGTATTTAACTTCTCTGCTATGTATTCATCATTGTATATACTCGCAAAAGATGGTCGGTCGATTATCTCGATCGCCTTCATGATAACGAAGTTGACACTGTGATTACTATCCAATTTCAAATCGACAATTGTTCAGTTCTTAATTACATGTTGTGATTGATATACATTCATATATAAGGTTTTAATGATTAGTTTTTATTGGTGATTACTATTAAACATAAAAATCATGTTTAAAATCTAATGTCGTGATTAGATAAAAATCTTATTTTATTAATTATTATATATTTTTTTATCATTATTCAATTTATTACTGATTATTGATTAAAACTAAAATACCATTAATAAATAAATATTGAAATACCATTATATAATATATATATATATATATATATATATATATATATATATATATATATATATATATATATATATATATATATATATATATATATATATATATATATATATATATATATATATATATATATATATATATATATATATATATATATATATATATATATATATATATATATATATATATATATATATATATATATATATATATATATATATATATATATATATATATATATATATATATATATATATATATATATATATATATATATATATATATATATATATATATATATATATATATATATATATATATATATATATATATATATATATATATATATATATATATATATATATATATATATATATATATATATATATATATATATATATATATATATATATATATATATATATATATATATATATATATATATATATATATATATATATATATATATATATATATATATATATATATATATATATATATATATATATATATATATATATATATATATATATATATATATATATATATATATATATATATATATATATATATATATATATATATATATATATATATATATATATATATATATATATATATATATATATATATATATATATATATATATATATATATATATATATATATATATATATATATATATATATATATATATATATATATATATATATATATATATATATATATATATATATATATATATATATATATATATATATATATATATATATATATATATATATATATATATATATATATATATATATATATATATATATATATATATATATATATATATATATATATATATATATATATATATATATATATATATATATATATATATATATATATATATATATATATATATATATATATATATATATATATATATATATATATATATATATATATATATATATATATATATATATATATATATATATATATATATATATATATATATATATATATATATATATATATATATATATATATATATATATATATATATATATATATATATATATATATATATATATATATATATATATATATATATATATATATATATATATATATATATATATATATATATATATATATATATATATATATATATATATATATATATATATATATATATATATATATATATATATATATATATATATATATATATATATATATATATATATATATATATATATATATATATATATATATATATATATATATATATATATATATATATATATATATATATATATATATATATATATATATATATATATATATATATATATATATATATATATATATATATATATATATATATATATATATATATATATATATATATATATATATATATATATATATATATATATATATATATATATATATATATATATATATATATATATATATATATATATATATATATATATATATATATATATATATATATATATATATATATATATATATATATATATATATATATATATATATATATATATATATATATATATATATATATATATATATATATATATATATATATATATATATATATATATATATATATATATATATATATATATATATATATATATATATATATATATATATATATATATATATATATATATATATATATATATATATATATATATATATATATATATATATATATATATATATATATATATATATATATATATATATATATATATATATATATATATATATATATATATATATATATATATATATATATATATATATATATATATATATATATATATATATATATATATATATATATATATATATATATATATATATATATATATATATATATATATATATATATATATATATATATATATATATATATATATATATATATATATATATATATATATATATATATATATATATATATATATATATATATATATATATATATATATATATATATATATATATATATATATATATATATATATATATATATATATATATATATATATATATATATATATATATATATATATATATATATATATATATATATATATATATATATATATATATATATATATATATATATATATATATATATATATATATATATATATATATATATATATATATATATATATATATATATATATATATATATATATATATATATATATATATATATATATATATATATATATATATATATATATATATATATATATATATATATATATATATATATATATATATATATATATATATATATATATATATATATATATATATATATATATATATATATATATATATATATATATATATATATATATATATATATATATATATATATATATATATATATATATATATATATATATATATATATATATATATATATATATATATATATATATATATATATATATATATATATATATATATATATATATATATATATATATATATATATATATATATATATATATATATATATATATATATATATATATATATATATATATATATATATATATATATATATATATATATATATATATATATATATATATATATATATATATATATATATATATATATATATATATATATATATATATATATATATATATATATATATATATATATATATATATATATATATATATATATATATATATATATATATATATATATATATATATATATATATATATATATATATATATATATATATATATATATATATATATATATATATATATATATATATATATATATATATATATATATATATATATATATATATATATATATATATATATATATATATATATATATATATATATATATATATATATATATATATATATATATATATATATATATATATATATATATATATATATATATATATATATATATATATATATATATATATATATATATATATATATATATATATATATATATATATATATATATATATATATATATATATATATATATATATATATATATATATATATATATATATATATATATATATATATATATATATATATATATATATATATATATATATATATATATATATATATATATATATATATATATATATATATATATATATATATATATATATATATATATATATATATATATATATATATATATATATATATATATATATATATATATATATATATATATATATATATATATATATATATATATATATATATATATATATATATATATATATATATATATATATATATATATATATATATATATATATATATATATATATATATATATATATATATATATATATATATATATATATATATATATATATATATATATATATATATATATATATATATATATATATATATATATATATATATATATATATATATATATATATATATATATATATATATATATATATATATATATATATATATATATATATATATATATATATATATATATATATATATATATATATATATATATATATATATATATATATATATATATATATATATATATATATATATATATATATATATATATATATATATATATATATATATATATATATATATATATATATATATATATATATATATATATATATATATATATATATATATATATATATATATATATATATATATATATATATATATATATATATATATATATATATATATATATATATATATATATATATATATATATATATATATATATATATATATATATATATATATATATATATATATATATATATATATATATATATATATATATATATATATATATATATATATATATATATATATATATATATATATATATATATATATATATATATATATATATATATATATATATATATATATATATATATATATATATATATATATATATATATATATATATATATATATATATATATATATATATATATATATATATATATATATATATATATATATATATATATATATATATATATATATATATATATATATATATATATATATATATATATATATATATATATATATATATATATATATATATATATATATATATATATATATATATATATATATATATATATATATATATATATATATATATATA